CAGCTATAAAACGATGCTTAAGAAGGGCAGGTCTAGAGGAATTGGTAGCGATAGTTGAAATACCACCGACTACTCTACGTCGCCAATTAGTTCGCAACCGCCTGTATGACCGTCTGTGTGAAACAACAAATTGTGTAATTTGCCCTTACGGCAGGGACGGTGATTGCATGAGTTCAGGTACGATATACCTGATCTCTTGTAATAATTGCGGAGATGAATATATTGGCGAAACGGGCAAACCTTTGTGTATCCGTATAAAAGAACACCTAGATGGCAAACGAAAACTAAGACGAAGCACCCCACTAGGCACGCATAGGATACAAAAGCATAGCGGAGACGATTTTGAAGTAAAAGTCAATATCCTTGCACAGGAGTCCAAAACACCAGCGTGAAAACTTCTTGAGGCTTTTTGGATAAATTCCAAAAACCCTACAATGAATAGCAGGGATGAATGCCCAGAGGTCATACGCGACCTGACCCCGTATGTTAGCATCAATTTCTGATGTGGGATGGTGCAGTCATCAACCATATGCGACTACAATCAACTGTTCTAAACTTCCTCATTGGAAGTCACGTAAAAAAGCGGTGACTTTTTCGAGAAGCTGTTGATCATGTAATTACCATAGAGTTTTTCGTCTTTTTGTAAGTGTCATTGAAGCGTTTGGCCTAGTAAATTGCATATCAGTGTACCCCTCCAGGCTCTGTAGAAGGCGATACTGCCGAAACGTCAGCTTGTGTTGTACTGTATTGCGTTTCTCTATGGAAGTAAATGTATGCTGTTTAAAAACCTCGCGACTGCTGAACAAGAAAACGACACATTCGTGTTCTAATGCCGAGGTTAAGAGAAAGTCGATCCTGGGAACTATCTGTTTAGAACGTTATTTCATCCTCTATGATATTGTGAGATTTATTTCCTGCCCTATTTCTGGAGTTTATCCTTCAGAATCGAAACTTCGTGCCTTAACGAATTCATTATTCCTTAATTTTTAGTTCGATTTACTTAGAAGTCATGCGTTATTAACCTTATTTCTTATACATGCATGAAACTTACTTTTCCAAAAATTTCAGCAGAAATTACAAGATTCCATTCGCCAAAACAAGTGAAGTTTCATTCCAAAAAATAAACTACTGGAGAAGTAATATTGGGGAGTTACAATTCGCTATGAGTTCATAAGAGATAAAGCACACAAAACAATAATCGACTTTATCAAAAAGCTCCTGATTTAAAAGAAAAGTAATTTTATTAACTATTTTGAACTATGGACTAGGTATTTCTTACGCAATCTACTAGATAAGGCGGTTCTGGACCTGATTAAAGAGACGAGCTGATCCTACCGGATTTCTTACCTCAAATTTCAAAAAATTTCAGAAAGACTCACGACTTGCTGAAGTCACTTCTGAGAGACGTTTCTTTCATCAACTACTACTCATAACTTCAATGATGCTGAGGTATTTGCAAAACTCCAGGCCGCATACAGCATCATTGAAGTTATATTTCACAATGTATACCCTGCCGTTAAAAATAGTAGGCAGTAAATAATAAGTTAAAATTACTATTCATAATTTCGAGGAAAAAGAATGCACTTTGGTCACGATTACGCGGAGACCAATTTGTTTTTTTTTCGCCGCGTAAGAAGTGCAGAGATGTGCATAGTAGATGCAACGAAGGGTCGCGTAAGCAGTAATAATAATAATAATCACCTGTTACCTGTAGTCCCGTTGATCGTCGAGTGACTCGAGCGGACGCCAGTAAATTTTCCATGTTTCCCTGTCGCGTGTAAGAGTAGCCCAATGGGTTCTGATCGCTCTATGGACTCGCTGAGCATCATATCTTTCTTCTAGGCATTTCTTGAAGAACTCTGACCATCGGGTCGGTGGTCTTCCCGCAGTGTCTTTAACATCTTGAGAAATCCAGTCACTAACGGCCCTTGTTCATTTATTCTCGTTCATACGCACTACATGTCCGGCCCACCTTATCTTCGACTGTCTCGCGTACAGAGCGGCATCTTTGATTTTCGTTCGTTGACGCGGGTCGGAGCTTCGCATCCTTTTCCTTACTTGTGTGACACAGGATACCCCTAACATCGTCCTTTCGACTGCGCGTTCAATAACGCTGAGTGATCTTTCATCTTCCTTACGCAGCGACCAAGTTTCTGACGCATACGTTAAGGCAAGAAGTACCGTTGGTGACGGGCACGGAGTCGGGTGTTCTTTGTTCTCTTCACTACATTCTCGATGCTCTTGAAAGTTCCCTAAGCCGCTCTTTCCTTCTGCTCAACTGTGAAGCTAAGTCGTTTATTATGTTGACTTCTCAACCTAGATAAGCGTAACTGGAGCATCCGGAGATAGTCGTTCCGCTGAGCGTGAATGGGACCTACGAAACCAATCCATTCTTCATAAACAACGTTGTTGTGAGATTTAGTCAAAGATCAATCTTTCCACGAGCATTATCAATGTCGGCAAGCATTTGTTCCGCTTGGCTAATGTTTGGTGTTATAAGGACGATGTCATCATGAAGGGGAAGATGGTGTAATTGCTGACCATTGATCTTAGTTATATAGCAGTTTATTTAATAATAATTAGTAGTAATAATGTTAGTATTAATAAAATTTGAGAAAACTGAAGACTTTTGAAGTGTCTTGCAACCTTGCTAGCTTGTTTGTCTGATCTTTTCCTGATAGTTGCATTGTGATACCACCAGTAACCAAAAAAAGAAACAGAAGAAGAAGAAGAAAACTTTTGCAGAAGATACATGAAGATTGAGGAGTCAGTGTCCCTAATTGTTCATGATGATCAGCTGCAGACGACGGAAGACTCTCCATAGAAGTCTGCTAGCAATTGGCTGCCGCTAACAAGTATATAGGCGAAATGTTTCAAACGTTATCTCAATGACTGTCTCTCTAGTTCTGCAATTAAATTTCACATTGAGCATTTGACTTTTCCATGCACATTTCAAGAACTGATTACAAATGACATGCCTTTTTGTTAGAGCAATTCTTTTTTAGTTTATCATTTTCAACCATCTTGGAAGCACACGATCGTTAAAGACAGCCTTTACAATAAATAAGTAGAAGGAAGGAAAGAAGACACGTTTTCAACTAGTTCTTTACTTTAGCATTAACCACTGTAGAAGTTGAGCGTGCAATGCAGTGGTTAACGACTCCCAGAATTACACAAAAGTTCAGACTAGGTTCGATTCTGCCCCTGGTCTCGCTACAGCTCCGACGGCCGTAAATTAGTATCAGAACTGCCTGGTAGGACAGAAAGAGTGACTTCATACATCGGTCAGCCGCACCTACTCATTGCACGGGCTAAAAGTGATTTCAATCACTCAGTCACCTTGCTTGATGAAGTACATTACACGACGCATGCCTTAAGGATTAATTAATGCCCTCCGCCTTATCCCTCACGTGATCTAACTATTCAACTCCCTAACCAAATGAATTATACGTTTTAATATTTGTTTCTCATTTGGAAGAGTTTTTTTTGGACTACGCAAGCAGTTTGCATCTTCGATCATAACTAGTGGATAAACGTTTATACTTGCGACAACAAGCAACTATCGGTTTGCGCAAACATATGTAATGCCCTGGAAGAGTGCGCCCGCAATCTCCTCAAGGTCAATCGATGTTTCACCCACGAAAATAGACCGAATCGTCACAATGCTCGTTCTCACCTTGGTCTCTGACCACAACGTAGAACTGGTAATTCATTAGAATTCGTTAACGATCTGCCGGCCAGAAGCAAGAGCAGTTCAAGCGTTTCAAACTAAATCACACTGGGTCAGCATGAGCCAGGTCAAATCTGTTTGTTCAGATCAAATTTAAACAACAGTGTTCCCTGTCTTCCATCACACTCCCTTCTCAGTTTATTTTAGTGATCAGTTCTTTCTTTCTACCGTTACAATCACCTACTTTAAATAAGCATTCTTCTTCCACTCGCCACTCATCGCTACTAAGCTGCCCCACGGACTCTCAAAACGGTTGGTCGTTTGACATGTACCGAGATTTTTTTTATAGGAGATTTTGATCGATGAAAACTAATAGATTAATCACAATTTTAACTCATTATTTACTTCCTACTCTTTTTAACTGCAAAGTATACATTGTGAAATATAACTTCAATAATGCTGAAATATTTTCAAAACTCTGGACCGTAGGTGTACTTGGTGGGGAACGAACGCGCTATTGTCCTTTCCGGAGAGTAGCGCGTCCACCACCACACCACACGGGTCCTTCGTTTCGCCTGTCTCTCAGCTAGTTCTATCGATCTTTTGCCATCAGCAATCACCCGTCAGCGGGATTGATCTGGGGTGCCCCAATTTGGCAACGAACTCAGTTAAGCTGAGGTCGCAGTTATAATCATAATTTTAACTTATTATTTACTGCCTACTCTTTTAACGCCCCTCTGCCTCTTGTCTCTCTGCTTACTCTTTTCCCTCTCCTTCTCTTTTCCTCTCTTTTCCTCTCTACTCTGCCTACTAATAGATTAGTTTTATTGCTCTTCTTTTATTGTCGCTTGCGTCTTAGCTTTATTTGTGCTTCGCCAATTTTTCTAATTATTAGTTCCCATAAATTCTTTGTGTCCCGTACAGTTCATTGCCATTAGTGCAGTAACTTGTACACTAAAATCTCATATGTGTTTTTCAAACGGCCGAACGTAATGTGTCGGACTCTTACAAGCTGCAGGAAATATGTTTTAGTACACGTCAATCAGCTTTTGGAAAGGAACTAAGTGAAAGAAGTCAATCGCACGTAGACATTTTTCTCTGTTTCTCTTATTTTGGGCAAACGTTGAAGTTGATGCTGCATCGTTAATCCAACGTTCGAGGTGCTCTAATCCTAGGTTTATGAATTGCTAGATGGAAGTGGTCAGCTGAAGCTGAAGAGTAGCATGGACGCGCGGACTTTCTGTAACACTATTGAAAAATTTGCAACGGATCTAGTTCAGCGACAAATCAATGCTTTTTAATTTCATGTAATATTGATTGTTTAAGGTAAATGTTGGATAATATGTGGTCATGTTGTTATTACGCCTTCACTTCGTATCTAGTCGTACGATTGTTGAAGTTCTTGTTCATTATTGCCAAGTGTTTTTGCGTACACATACTTACTCCCGTTTATAATCTGGATCATCTTAAGGATTCGTGGACAGGTAAAATTGTATTTTTACCTTATCTATCAGTTCGGTTGGGCTTTTTTGAATGAAAAGCAAAGTAAGATAGCCCTTAAGCTATGCAATGCTTACAAATCCACAAAGGTCTCTGTCTTTTGCATCTTATTCGAAGTTTCATTTCGTAGTAGTGACCGGCTGCACAGATGGTATCGGCAGGGCGTACATTGAGGAGCTGGCGAGAACTCGAGGAATAAAAAGGTTCTACTTGGTCGGGAGAAATCGCCAGAAACTCGAGACTGTAGTGACACAGATGGGTGAGTGCAATATTGAAAGCTCACTTATGAGTTATTTCTCATCTATTTCTAATTTATTCTGTGTGCTTAATTCTTACGAAATCTCATTGATAACGGTAGGATAGAAACTGATACTGAGGTGAAAATGCATTCCATGAAATGTGGTGTGGTTCATGTGGTCTAGAGCCTAATGAACTTGAAAGTTCAATAATTCGTGGAGACATGACCTAAGTCTTGTCGATCAATTTTTATTTTTCATCAATTTGATAAACGATAGAGAAGAATCGAAAGTGTCACCATTAATACGTGCATTACTCCTTGTTTGATCTATGTCCAGTTCAAGTCGTCCTCATCGTTGGGGTTAAAATGAATTTCGCATGCCCTTTGTTTATTATTTACTTGTTCCAACAGCGTATTAATACTTTCGAAAGCGATGTTTAATCACTGAAGAAATCCAAGTAACCAAACAAGTTCGAAAGAGTAAAAAGTCTATAAAACCAATTGCAGCCCCAATGCCGCTATATCAAGTCACATTTAGTCAATATTTCCGAGGTTTTGCTCTCATTAATGTCTGAAATTCGAGTATATAAATATATCGCGCCATGTTCCAATACCTTTGCTCAATAGAACGCTTGGAGGTCCGACGAAGCTCAAGTTTCCCATTTTCGTATACCGTTATGTCCATCGTCATCTTTATGCTCATCGCCAAAAATGCACCGATCATACAGGGATCGTCACCAAAATGTGGGACAATATTCAGACAGTTGTGAAAATTTTCAACGAAACAAGTATTCATGAATAAGCTTAGATATTAGCAGCTGACTGGATGGTAACTGCAAAATCTTTTTTCATTGACTATATTTAGCTGTTTGTCAGCAACGTTGATGGATTACAGCACGTTTTATTTATGTTTAAATGTGTTAGTGGACGAGTGACAGTGTAAAATCATGTTTACTATCGACATAAAAAAATGTACATTTGTGCAGCTTTAGATAGACCTTTCCGAGACGAAATGAATTCCAAACTTTTCGAGTTTGCTTGAAATATAAACAATTTCATGGCGACAAGGCCTCTATAGGTGTCCTAATGGGATACTGTCGCCGGTCTGACCTCTATACATGTCATTCTGTTTGTGTTCGTTTATTTTGGCGCAAAGAACGCTTTTCCTACATTTCTTGCAATCAATCTCTAGCTTAGCTAACACAGCTTTTTTGAGGAATTATCCTGGAAAATATCGACTTTTTATATCACAGTATCACCAGACAATCCCAGCTATCCACATCAGCAACCTGCATAAGAGGGAATCACCGAGTGAGTATACCTCATTGAGGAAATGAATGGCCCGCTGAGAAAGAACTGACTCGACACGAAGGCGAAGCTGCCACGTCGAGACGAATAACTAGCGTGGACCAACGACTCGGATCATCGGCTCTGAGGAAGACGAAGACATCGAAACGTTAACCGAAAATAAATATCATTATCAACCTCGTGTAAGCTCATCAAAGAAAGAATACATATTGATTAGTGATACTGAGGCTCAAGGAAAGTCGGTTTAGAAATATTACTACGCTTTCTGCTAGCTGATAATAACACCGACTTCTGCAGGTTTGATTGCGCGGGAAAAACAAGTTACTATCACACTATCACTGGACAATCACGACTATCCACCATCAGCAACCTGCATTAAAAGGCATTACTGAGTGAGTATGCCTCATTCGAGGAGATGGCTCGCTGAGGAAGACCTGACTCGACAAGAAGGCGAAGCTGCCACGTCGAGGTGAACAACAATCATGGACCATCGACTCGGATCATCGGCTCTGAGGAAGACGAAGACGTCGAAACGTTAGCCGAAAATAAATATATTTATCAACCTCGTATAAGCTCATCAAAAAAAGAATACATATAGATTTTGGGTTTCAAATATATAAAAAGCCTTTTGAAGTGACTTCATTGACAGGTAATTTACCTAAAAATCCACTCGTGTTCCTCTTTTTATCGCTATAGTGAATCATTGTTATCGGATAAAATGAACGAGTGCAATAAATACGGAAATAGTTTAAAAATAAGCTTGAAGACACTCTAAGCCCCGACAGCAATGTGTTTGTGCGACAGAATATAACACTACGTAGCAAATAGTAACATACATGCCATTGATCTCCTCAGAGAGATGAAGCAAAGTTTCTTGTATAATGTCCTTATGCTCAGCCCTTTATGTCTTTCAGTCTCCAAAATATTATCTCTATTGCAGATGAAGCAATCCGCTCTGCAACAGCGAAGAAATAAGCTTCATTGCTAATGTGTTAGCGAACACAGAGCGTACGTTATGGAATAAAGCCTAAAACTACAATACAAATAGAAAGATAGGAAATAAAGAAAAAAGCAGTCCAGCATATATGGATAAAACTACACGAGGTTGCGAACACTAATAATGGATTAGTGACAGGCTCAAAGCGACGCTTGAACGTTTGTCCAGGATCTTATCTGTTCACCAAGACAAGCAAACGTTACTCTGTGGAATTAACGTCGCAAAATCTTCTAAGCTCAATAATTAGACCGAAAGTGAGCACACTGGCCGGAAATCTATAGAACGAAGACGATGGAGTGGAATCGTCGAGTGATTTGGTATTAGCGTTTTGCATAGTAGCATCTCATGTGGATCTACTAACTAGCTTAAGTTCTAAAGAGAGCACCTTTACAATATTTTTTGTGATATATAGATCTCATTATTAGATGTCACCTTGTCTTTACTGTATTGTGTTGATTCAAAAATAGCGTCAGGTATTGTCGTTACGAATTAAGAAAAGTGTTTTGCAAGTAACTTACCTTATCTCATAGTCTCATTGTCGTTGTATCTATCTGCCGCTCAATACTTTTTCTAATGCTTATACTAAAATCTGTTTTCTTAGCTATTCATGAGAGAAATTCGTATTAAACTTGCTAAGTACAAGGCATCTCCCTTAACCACTTGGAGACGCTGATTCACGGCTATCTCAGGCCTCCAGGGAGAATCGACTCGATCAACGACCAGCTATGTTGTCAAAGCAACAAAATGTCATTTCCACCATAACATTGTGAATACTGTAGAAACGCTAGCGACAGAGAACTAATATCACAAAATTGATGATGTGCAAAAAGTGTGCAGCATAATCGTTCATCACTAGTGGGAAGGAAAGGTCCAGTGCCCTTGAAAAATGCTCAAACATATTCTGCATCAATAGGGCTGCAGAAGCCGAACGAATTGGAATAGAATTTTACCGCTCACGTATGCATAGTCCTATCCCGCATAGTCCAGGGGAAAGGAGTAGTTGTGGTGGAAGCTTCCACATGAGGCAGGGAGCAGCATGCCTTTCCTGTATTGAACTGAAAACACTCGTAAAACGAGGCGTAAAGACTAACCGACGACATGTCCAGCAGCTCGCCTTTTGTGTCCTCGCTGAAACGAGTAATTTCACCTTAGCCAATCCTTTTCCTCCAGCTGGTATTTTCGATTTTTTGCCATGTTGGAATTGCATGTTTCTTTTGTTTAACTGGTCTAAAACAGTCTCGTCATTGGTTTAAAAAATAGTTAAAAGGTCCTTTTTACACAGAGACCACTTTAAATGGATTTCCACTTGTGCATGCGGGAAGGTGAAGTCCAACCGATGTGATCTGGTTGAATTTTTTTTCATTTGGCCATACAAATGTTTTTCGTCTTCCTTTTTGCATTCAGTAAATAGCCCATCCAACGATGATTGTTGTACTGCGGAACGGAACTGAAAAACCTATTCAAAACACTTGCTAATTTGCAAGAAAAGCTGTTTTCGGGTTTGTTCGTTTCGTGAGCGAAAGACTGTTGGCAATGAAGACAGCCACTATCAGGAAAGCTGTTGCCGTTAACGATGGAACAGAGGCATTTCTGCTACTGAACTTCGACAGGTAGGGGTATTTTCCGCTGTGGTATGATAATCATCCACTGAGGAATTTTGTATAGCGTAATTGTGGCATAGTTCTCGGAACCGATAGCTGTAAAAGCCACAAAAAAAACACGGAAATGTACTTCACACATCCATCCTGCAAAAGCCTATCAAATGCTGACAGCAATGTGATTGGTTCACAGACGAGTTTTCTTCACCACACACAACGGTTGGATTTGCTCCAAAAGCATAGAAAGATACACAGAAAAGTAAGAAAGACAAACAGAATGTAAGAAGCATGTAAGGATCCTGATTGCAAAAAAAGTAGTAAACCGAGTTGTAGGGCGAAAACTACCATAAAAGAAAGGGTTATTCATGGCTAGGACATTGTGGCGAGTATGATTCTCGATTGAGTTACGGCCATGCGAGGAAAAAATAGGGACCTTGAAAAACATGTGAAATTGCACCAATGATGGGTGACCGTAAATTACTTTGACGGCACAAAAATCAGGTTTTTCATATGGCATATTGCTGCACAAAGAAAGGTCCTCTAAAAATCTTTATTCCGTAGCTCCTTGATTCTTCGATGGCGTATGTTCGGCAATTCCATAGTAAATACGATATGGAAATGTTATTTAAATATCTCCAATTGCCAAAAACGAAGTGTATCTGCAATGTGCTTAATTCCACCACTTGTGATTTGCACAAGGTGCACGTGCACTCCTTTCCGCAATGACGAATCCTGTGTTAAGTTCAAATTCAACTTGAAGGACTTTTAGAAAGCCCTACACAAATCTATCCATTTATTGATGCACTCTTTACGGCTTCATTAGAAAGAATAATTGACTTTTCTAGCTCTTTTGTTCATTTCTGTATAGGTATGATGGCCTTTTCGTGCCCGTTTTCGGAAAATGATCAAAACAATCAATAAGCTTCCTGAAATATAACCACAACAATGCTGAGATATGGGCAAAACTCCGAACCTAAGGTGAGCTTCGAACCTACAATTGACCTTTCCGCATTCCAACGATTACCTCATATTATCCATTATTGCACCAACAGAGGTCTTTGCTTTGCCTTTCTCCCAGCCTTTTTTCTTACCACAATGGTGCTATCAGCACAGAATGAATTAATAAGTTAAAATTATGAGCTTTGTTTCCTATCGTGGAAATATTTGCAAATCAAAACAGTGCACTTGATATTTTCGACTTTCTAACCTCAATTTACAAGCCTAAACCAGGGATTGAATCAGTGAAGTTATTCGATTGGAGGTTTTATTTCTGAGACATTGTCTCATTCAGTAGAAAGTGTGAAGAGACAATTCCTGTTTTCTTTGACCTCCTCTGATACCTCTGTCATCTTCTTTACGGTTTCAGTCGAACGATATAACGCCATTTGCAAGACAGCTGTGTTCGACTTCGAATATGACGACTATTCTAAGCTTCCACAAGAGTTGAAGACGTTGGACGTCGGTATTCTCAGTGGGTTTTCATAAACGACAGCCTTGTTGTCCTGCTCTGAAATGCCAACCACGTGAAGAACTTGCAGTCAATTGTGCTGGCATCGCCCCGAATCAAGTTGGAAACTTTGTTGAACTGCCAGAGCAGTTAGCGTCGAAGATTTTGCGTGTTAACCTAATGTCCAGTGTTAAGGTAAACTTTTTCTAATTTCTAGGAGAGCCTAAGTGTTTAAATATTCTTCTACATAGCTATTTTCTTCTTGATCATTTCTGGTTTACTTCTTTCCGCCTTCTTTTCACGAATTTCTCAGATTCTTTCGCAACACATTCTAATGGAAACATATGCAAATTTCTCTTTCAGATGATCGAATTTATTCTACCTGGTATGATCCAACGTAACAGAGGTTGTATTGTAAATATCTCGTCAATGACGGTATGTTTTCGTATGAGTTAAAAACTCCGAGCACTTCAGCAGATATGCAAAGAGTTAATATGACCGCGTCTTTTAGGGTTGGCGTCCACTACCTTATCTCAGTACTTATCCAGCAAGTAAGGCGGCTATCGCTTTCTTTTCGGATTCTCTTAGTGATGAGTTCCGTCACACTAAAGTTCGAATACAGGTGAAAAGACAAGAGCACATTGCCTTATAGGAAAGTTCAATATAACTTATTCCTCTCAGCTTACACTTCAAATTCATAAGGGCAAAGTAGATTTCCATGACACAGTAATGCATTCTTTCAGTGTCTTATTCCTCTACTGGTTGCAACCAAGGCTGCTTCGTACGAAACCACTGATGCGAACAACTTATTTATCATTAGTCCCGAAGACTACGCAAAGCAGGCCGTTCGTGCAATTGGACGATTTGAGATTCTCACTGGCTGTATCCAACATGATATTCAGGGGAGTGTCCTTCTACTACGAAACATTTTTTAACGATTGCATCTTAACGGACAAACAAGTGTGTCGGAAACTTTAACAGCTGCAAGACCAGCAATTGTTGACTTGTTTTGATGATGCTCGCAAGTGGATCTCAGCAATTACAGCTGGCGAAAGTACATTTATCTCTCGATAGACTTATTAGCAATGTAGCGGAAAGCTCATGCTTTCAGTGATTATTTCCCAATCACTATTTTTCGTGACGGAGTTGTCATACTTCTCAAAATGGGTCAAAATGCGGCCTCGAGTTCGTTAGGGGCGGTGAAACGCCACGGTCGTTACCTCAACATCCTTACCAGCGAATGCAGCCTCACCTTTGAGAGGAAATTGTATATTTTACAATTTTCAACACACCGCAGAGCAGACAAGACAATCGCTACTTAGTAGGCACGTTCTACTTTAGCACCCTTTCGTAGGAAATTATTCATTTTCGCATAATCTTGCTTTTTGTAATGTTAACACTTGGAGGGCGTTCCTATTCTTCATGATTAACTTCACAAAACTCCACTTTTTCTGCTTAGGCTAAATTTTCTCATCTACTTGAAACTTTTTTAGATCGCTTTTGGGACGCTGCTCTCTTTCTGGGCCTTCAAAATGCTCTACGTACCGTTGGTGATTTTGGGAATACACAAGGATCGCGTAGCAGCCTTCCAGAAGAATCATCAAAAGCAAACTTAGACACGACATTCTAGGAGTGTGATACTTAAGTGTTCAAAAATAGCATTGCTTTCATTGTTACCAGTGGGTCATACATGATCTGTTCAAATCTAACAATAAATTTTTAATGCTTCTTGCACCGAAATGCAGGTAGTGGCACTGCGTCAACACGCATTTCGAACTTTATACACCATTTTTGTATAGTTGGTTTTCGCATCTATAACACTGAGGATTTTGAGCGTCAGTGCATATGAGCTCACAAATTTTATTTCAAACTACAAAAAAAACGCTAGCCTCCGAGGTGCATATTTGGTTGGCTGTTCTACCTAGAAATTCTCTGAGCCAGACAATGTGAATTTTTGACGTAAACTTGCCTCTTTGATCTGGCATGAACGTGATAGCATCTAGAAACCAATAAACACCGTACAAGTGCTCAACGGAGATAACACAGTGTGGCGATCGAGCAAATAGCCATATGTGCTGGGACAGCAGACCTAATCGTTGCGCTTTCTTTCAGCTTTGGACTTACCTGCACGAAGAGATTGTATACCCTATTCTATGGCCTCAAACACAGTCCGCATCAATTTCGCTTCCTGACATCGCTATGTGCATGAAGATGGCTGCTTCGTAGTGGCGACCACGAGAAACATCCCATTAGTCAGAATTATCCCGTATTTGCGTTCAGCAGGTTGACGATGACTCCTAATACGTTCCCTGTCTTGAAGGATTCCTGTCCGATAAATTTTGCACTCCACTAGAGTCATTTTTCGTCCTTCTGTTCCATCTGTTATCGGCCGTTTTCATTCCTTGATTAGCCATTCCTTGCAACACATTTGAGGTATATTCCAATAGGAAATGAAGTTGGTTATCGAACCTCCGAACTACGGTGGTGAAGATGGTGCTGCGCATATTTCATGTCAGTTCTGAAGCTCTTTGAAGGCTCTTTAACGTATCAGAATATGTTTTAACTGGACAGCAGAGTGTTAGATGAACCGGACATTGACTGGAACGAATAACAAAATTTTGCAAAAGTCGATGGTGGATAAGTTCTTTAAAAGGTCCCTATACCTATTCTTTAAAATTCTGGACGTCTGAGGGAGATAAAGCAGTTGAAGAAAGTCTCATCCTCGTCTTGATTTCCGGATCATTGTCGGAGAGAAAGCTGTCAAAGCTATTGCAGAAGTGATAATCCATTGGGAGAGGCTCCTGCAAGTACGGCGGATGAGGGAGACCTCACCCAATTTTTGCACCATCGGTTTTATTCTCCCTATTTTATCTTGGAAGAAGATTCATGCTTTTTTGTTGACCACAGCGGAGTGCACCCAATGAAATTCATTGTTAACGTCGTCGATTTGCTGGATGTACTTTTACTCCGTAATCGCCTTAACTGGATTCAAGAAGATCTGAGGGATTCAACTAGCAGGAAACCATCTAATGGTCATCATAGTCTTCTTTTGGTGCAGTTTTGACTTCGAGAAGTGTTGCAGAGCTTAATCGCCGTTCATGCACCAAGTGTGTCGTCGCCCATTTTGGTAGAGGATCTATTTCTCGCGAAACGTCTCAGTACGGTGGGCAAAAGAGGTTTTCGTAGTAATTCAAAGAAAAGCCTCTGATGCTTCACAAGGTGCTTAATTTCTTATTTTGTTTCACTTCGGGTGACATCCATTTTCGAGTTCTTATGTCAGTTCTCAAAGAGTTGTCCCTCTGTTTGCTTCCATCAAAACCTTCTTTTCACCGTTGTCAATAGCAAGAGCGCGTTCGTGACCTCATTCAACTGCAACGTCGGATTTATTTTAATGAAATTTTTAAACAAATGGTCCACTGTGCGTCCCTCAACGCTTCCTTGCCCCATGCACCAGTAGTCTCTCAAACACTTTGGCCACGTCCGACTTCGAACACGTAGAAGTAGATTTGTCGAGACAGCTGTTCCGATATCTCATAAGTTGACCTTGAAAATTCGTAGAAACATAATGCGTATCGTAATTCAGTCGTCGCAGCAACATTGCATAAAATGAGGTTTACAATGATATACAATATTACAACATTGGAAAAACTGTGTCACTGAAACTCGTGCTAAAATAATTAAATTGCAGATCGAACATTAATTTCAGAGCAACCTGGCGTTGTCCAAGGGTTCCAGTGTTTAGTTGCTTTTGCTTTAGGACCGTGGTCCATCTTCACGTAGGTCTTTGTGATCCTTATGGAAAGCAACGATTCTTTTGTTTCGCGAAAGTGATTTTTCATACAAGAGGATTTTCGCCTTGAATTACCTTCTAAAAGTTTCGTAGAGCGCCTTGCTCAAGGCTACCGGCTTCTCGAGTAGCACTTGATGAGCCCAATGCTTTTTTCTAAAAGTTAGACGTTGGCAACTGAAGGCGACTGAAGACAAAGGGATTTGAATAGGTCCTACGAGGCGAGCAACAGGCTTGTAACGGAAATAGATGCTTCTACCCACCGTTTAACTCACATTGTCTTTTCACATAAAGCGCTCAACGACGTGGTAATGGATACCTCATAAAACAACTGTGGTTTGATTGGTGAAGCACACTTCCTATCGGTGAAGTCAACTGCAAGCAGGGATTCGATCTTGTTCACAGCACTTATTTTCGTAGTGACGCTATTTAAGTTGTTAACATCGAAGACATACTGAGGCTAGTTTTCTGCTCGTCACCAACGCACACTTCCTACCGCTGTGATATACGGAAAGATTAGCAGAACTTTCACGGGTTCCCAATCAACATGTCTGTGATTTCTGTAGTTGAATTCTTTTAACTGCACATCCGGGTGAAAATTCCTAAAGATTTCCAACTCAGGTTGAGTTAGTGTGAATTAAACCGCCTGTTCCACGCAGTAACTAAACAAATTGAAGGGTTCATTCCTTCTCTCACACTGTCTAGTGAAGGGTCGTATTCTTTATAAAGGGGCAATGCCAGTGAGATGATTGCACTCCAGCGGTGCTCTATTGTGCAAGGTTGGACTCACTACGACAATGAAGACCCACAAGGTGAGGACGAACCACTTTGGACTGTCGACTTGGATTATTCAGGCTCTGAAAACGATGAAGACGTCAAAACATTAGCCGAATAAAAGTCGTATAAAAACTTCGTGCAAGTCAGAATAACCTAAGCAAATANGGTAATGGATACCTCATAAAACAACTGTGGTTTGATTGGTGAAGCACACTTCCTATCGGTGAAGTCAACTGCAAGCAGGGATTCGATCTTGTTCACAGCACTTATTTCCGTAGTGACGCTATTTAAGTTGTTAACATCGAAGACATACTGAGGCCAGTTTTCTGCTCGTCACCAACGCACACTTCCTACCGCTGTGATATACGGAAAGATTAGCAGAACTTTCACGGGTTCCCAATCAACATGTCTGTGATTTCTGTAGTTGAATTCTTTTAACTGCACATCCGGGTGAAAATTCCTAAAGATTTCCAACTCAGGTTGAGTTAGTGTGAATTAAACCGCCTGTTCCACGCAGTAACTAAACAAATTGAAGGGTTCATTCCTTCTCTCACACTGTCTAGTGAAGGGTCGTATTCTTTATAAAGGGGCAATGCCAGTGAGATGATTGCACTCCAGCGGTGCTCTATTGTGCAAGGTTGGACTCACTACGACAATGAAGACCCACAAGGTGAGGACGAACCACTTTGGACTGTCGACTTGGATTATTCAGGCACTGAAAACGATGAAGACGTCAAAACATTAGCCGAATAAAAGTCGTATAAAAACCACGTGCAAGTAGAATAATCCTAGCAGAACAAGCAATATATTGGTTATTCACATCGAAGTTAAGTGAAAGTTGATTTACTAAAGTGGAGGCAATGTTAACTTTCTTATTTACTGCCTGTTAGAATTTTTCACGGCAGTATATTAAGAATATGAAATTCAAAGACAATGGTGCTGAGATATTTGCAAAACTCCGGACCGCAGGTGACTGTGGTGGCGAACGAACGTGCTGCTACCCTTTCCAAAGGCTGACGCGTTCACCACCACTCCATGCGGGTCCTTCATTTCGCCTTTCTCTCATCTAGTTTGTTATCCACCAGTGCCATAAGAAACCACTCGTGAACGGAAAGTATAGTAGCGTGTTCGATTCCCAACGCAGACACCTGCGCTCAGGAGTTTTACACATATCTCAGCATCATTGTCGTGGAATTTCATATAATAATCTGCCGTAAAAAGTTATAGCAGACAGCCAACAAAGAAGTTAACATTGTGATTTCGACTACAGCTTCAGTTTAATTGGTCCATTGCCGATTTCTGCTCCCCAGATCAATCCCGTTGACGGGTGATTGATGATGGCACTGGCAGACAGAAAACTAGCTGAGAGAAAGGCGAAACGATGAAAAAAAATGATTGCCACTATGCGTCAAATAAGTCTACTCAGGTAGAACTGAGTGCCTTAGAATCCATTGTACTAAGTTGAGATTTTTTCTTCTCATCGTGTCACCTGAGTTGTGAATAAACGAAAACTGGTAAAAAAAAAGATCCGGTAGGTGCTAGGTGATGAGTTGTAGTTGTAGTTACACATTTTGAACACTAAGGCAAGCATAAAGGGAGCGTTGGCGCAGTGATCGGAGGCGCCCTGCAACACACAAGTGGGATCGATCTCCGTGCCCATGGCCCAGCAAGCCTTCCATCCCCCCGGAGTTGGTAAATTGGTACCATACTTGTTTGAGAGAATAGCAGCACTGGCTCGATACATCGGTAGGTTACCGCAAGTCATTGTAAAGGCCAGATATGCATTCAATCACCACCAACGGTACCTAATGAAGTCGAGTGCATGGCGCATCCCTCAGGGATTGATCAACGCGGCGAACTCTATCCTTCATTTTTTAAGGCAATCGTAATCGCTCTTTGTCATGTTCTACAATGTTTTTTTACCTCATTCTATGACCTATCAACTGGTTCAAGTGCTTAACTTTCTAATGCAGTGCCTACTATTTCTTACACGGCGGGGTATTATGTGAGATACAACCACCATGATGCTGAGATATTGCACAGCTTAATTTG